TCTCCCTCTCTCTTCCCTCCCCGCTTTTTCCTTCCCTTCTCCCCCTACCCCCTTTCTTTTTCTCATCTCTTTATTTTCTTTGCAGTATTTTGTTTGGCTCCTTATATATTACATAAGTTCTGGTCTTTGCAACATCCCTGCAAGACAGGTATTTTTATTCTCATTTTGCAGATGAAGAAGATATAGTTCAGAGATGTTATGTGACTTGCCTGAAGTCATAAAGCTAAGAAATGGCAGAGACAAGACGGGATTCTTGTTCTATCCTCCTCCAGGGCCAGAGTGCTTTCCACAGTGCTCAGGCCAAAGGTAAACTGCCTGAGCCGGCAACACTCTGCTAAGGGCAGGCAAGACTCGCAGGGTGTCTAGGAAGGCCAGGGGGAGTTCCAGAGACTTCAGGGGGAGGCTGGGATAAAAGAATTGGGGTGGGTCTAGAAGTGCTCCTGAGCACGGGGGAAGTGAGAGTCAGACTCCTTCTTCCCCTTCTGCTCTCCTGGCATGAAGGACCATTGAAATGCTTATGAAATTGGAGATCTGGTGGGTGTTCACTCCTCTTGCCACTGTGGCTGCCGAGCTGAGGCCAGAGGGTGTGGTCTGGAGGCCCTTTCTGGGCACTAATTGCGGGCAGTTTCTTGTTGTCCTCCTCCCCTAGGTACAATTAGCCACCAAGTGTGGTGAATTTTACTTCCACAATAGCACTTTGCTCTTCTTCAGCCCCTGCCAGAGCCTGGAGCAGGTCCCCATCGTCCCCCCTCGCTCGCCTCACCATTTCCTCTTTCGCTTTCTCCAATTTCCCCTCCACCCTGCAGCCTGAGCGATCTTTCTAAAATGTGCACTTGATTACACAACTCCTCGGCCTAAAACACTTTGATGGCTCTGCAATGCCTTCAAGATGTGGGCCAAACTCCTCAGCCCTGCCCACAGGCCCTCTGCTGGTTTCTGCAGTCTCTCTCGCTCACCCTTACCTGCCGTGGGCTACCTGCAACCAGACTGAATCCCATGAGCACAGGGTACTCTCTCTCATGCCTCAAGGCCTTTGCCTGTGCTCTTCCTTCTCCCTGGAATGCTGTGCTCTGGTGAACTCTTACTTGAATCTTAGGTCTCTGTTTAGACAACATTCTGGTGGGAAATGCTCCCTGGAATGATGGGTGCCGTTATGGGCTGTGATGGACCTTGTCGCACTCATACTACCATCTTGTCGTTTTCTTTTTGTCTGTCTCTCCATCCTGGCAGCACATTAGAATTACCAGGGCAGCTTTTAAACTGCTGAGGCTGGGGCCGCACCCCCCAGAGATTCCGAGTTAACCAACCAGGGCAAGGCCTGGGTTTTGGCAGTTTTAAAATCTCCCCGGGTGATTCTAATGTGCAACCAGGGCTAACAGCCCTTGATACGAAGTTTCAGGGGGTGGGGTCATGCCTGTCACAGTCATCATTGTCAACCCTCACTTGGCACTGAAATGCTCAGGTATTTAATAAGGGTGTGGGAGAACAAAGAAGCAGTTTCTAGAAGGGATGCAGGATCCCTTAAGGACAAAAATTGGTGCATACCAAATATGCATTGGGTAGCAAGTTAGAGCTTTTTGAAGGTTTTGTGGAACAATCACTAACTTGTCTTATAAAAGAGTGACTGAGCATTCAGGTCACTTTTAGAAAATATTTGTAGTTTTGTTTACTTTAGATTCATAGTAAAAATGACACATTTAGATCATTGTCACTTGTGTGTGGCTGGGCCCCCTATGGAAGCCTTCTCTCTCCCCTCTGCCCACATTGAAGCCAAATGCCACATTGTCAGTGGCAAAAACCTTCTTGCTATGTCCTCATGGGGTTGTCCCTCCATGTGTTTCCCTGGTGTCTCTTTTATGTGTGTAATTTAAATTTTACTGAAAATTTCCTGAAATTTCCATTGCTCATGAACAGTAGAGCATAATAAAAATCCCCTGGCCAACATCGCCACTTTCTTGCCCTCCAACGGCGTCTTCAGACTCCTTGTCCCCATTCCTTCACCCTTCCTGGCTTCAGCAATTTAGCTCTTTCTCTCCACATGCCAATGCCACATAGTGAGGCAGAAGGCTGACGCCAGCGGCACAGTGACCACCCACTGTTTCTCCTGTGCTCTCCTGGGAGGCCTCAGTTTCTCCTGACCTACTATTAAGCCCTTCCTGTCAGGAATCCTTTGCGCAGGCACTGGTGTTGTACCAGGCTTCCAGGAGCAAGTTAGCACTCACCTCCGCACAGTGGTATGAAGGGCGGGGAGGGGCAGGAGAGGAGGAGTACGGGGGAAGATGGGCACCTGCCAACACCAGGAGATCCTCTCCCTGCACAAGGTCTGATGTAAGACCAGTGACAACGCAAGGATGGCGTGGGTGCTGGCCAAAGTCACCCCAAGTAGACAGACAGTTACCAGTGCCCTTCAGTCAAAGATCACCGGACACACCTGAAGCTGAATTGGTTGGATTGATTGCTCTTTGTGATGGAAAAGAACTCTCGCTTTTGTGTGTCCAGATGTCCTCATACCTTGAGGAACTGCAGGGCGTCTCAGTAAGAGGATCTTAGAAGGGCTTGTTAAAGGATTTGAATTTGTGTTGTCAGGTGATTTTGGGGAAGGTTCAAGGAAGTGGGGTTTTGCTGTGGGTTGGGTGCTCTCAGAAAATGGGTATAATTCTGAGTATCTGTATTAGTCAGCTCTGGCTGCCATCAAAAAATACCCCAGACTGGGTGGCTTAAACAACAGAAACTTATTTTCTGTTTCTTTTCAGTTCTAGAGGCTGAAAGTCTGAGATCAAGGAGTCGGCAGCTCTCCTTCCTCCTGAGGCCTCTCTCCTTGGCTCGCAGATGACCACCTTCTTGCTATGTCCTCATGGGCTTGTCCCTCCATGCGCACCCTGGTGTCTCTTTTGTGTGTCCAAATTTCCCCTTCTTATGAGGACACCGGTCAGATTGGGGTAGGGCCCACCCTAACGGCCTCATTTTAACTTAATCATGTCTTTCATGACCCTATCTACAAATACAGTCACATTCTGAGGCGCTGGGGGTCAGGGCTTCAACATATGACTTTTGGGGGAACATAGTTCATCCCCAAACAGTATCCTAATGTATCTCATCTATAAGGAGGGGAGGAAATGAGGGGAGGCGAAAGCTGGCATTAGTAAAAGAACAGCAGTCACTCATTAGCCAGGAGAGGGGGATGTCTGGTCCTTTTTGTGGCTTGGACAATGTTCACGTTTTGTTTGTGTTGAGATGTGATTATGGAGAGGTCTTGTTTTTGTCTTCATCTATCATGGACACAGAATGGCTTGCCTGATACTGATGCTCTGTGAAATTGCTTATGTTTAACAAGAGAACACCATGGTCTAGCTGTGGGTACCAGCTGGCTTATAGCAACACCAAAGCCTGACTGATGAGCCAGGCCAGCTCCTGACTGTCAGGTGATGTTTTCTCTTTCTCACAATCTGGTACGAACAGTGTGTTTGCTAAGCAGATGAAGCTTTGGGATAATTACTACCCTTTCCTACTCAGAAATTCCAGTGCTAACACGGGGTTACTGAGGTAGTGTGGCAACACTTAGTCCCCTTCCAGGAATGCACGGAACCTGCAGACCTGGATGTGGAGGAAGTAGGTGTCTCCACAACTCTATAGGCTTAGGTCTTTAGCTGCTCACCTTGAGGACACACTCTGCTGGTTGAGTGCCATCCTGGAACTCCTGGGAATGTGAGTGGCACCCGAATTCACTTGGTATATTAGTTATCTATTGTTGTGTAACAAATTACCACCAACTTAAGTGGCTTAAAACAGTACATGTTTATTATCTCAGTTTCTTTGAATCAGGAGTGTGGACATAGCTTAACTGAGTCCTCTGCTTTGGGTCTTATGAGACTTCAGTCAAGGTGTTGGCCAGGACTTAGTTCTCATCAGAGACTCAACTGGGGAAGGATCTGTTTCTGAGCTCACCTAGGTAGTTGGTAAAATTCATGATCTCATGATGTAGGACTCATGGCAGCTTGCTTGTTCAAAGACAGCAATGGAGAGAGAGACTCCAGTAATACTGGCACTACACTCTTATGTTGTCATGTACAAGCAATCCCAGGACATCCCAGGACCTTTATCACATTCCACTGGTTAGAAGCGAGTCTCAGGTCCTGCCCACACTCAAGGGGAGGGTATTAAACAGAAGAGTGACTATCAGGAGGCAGGAGCAAGGGGGCCTGTCCACCACACCTGGGCTGTCCTGACCCCCTTGGGGACTCTGCAGAGTGTGCTAAGTGATTCAGATCTTGGATGGCTGTACATTGGCCAAGCCAAATAGGAAAAGGTGGGGTGAAGGCACAGAGGTGTGGCTGAAACCACAAAAAATCCTCTGCGTACTCTGAAATGTTTATTTTTGAGAGTAAATCTGATTTTTTAGAAAAAGCAAAAAGGTATCCACAGTATAATTTTCTCAGGTGACTGCTATGAAGGGGACAAGCCCACAGATTTGTGTAAATTCAGAAAGTCATTAGTAGAGGTAGAAAGGAAGAACTTAAGAGTAGGTTAAATACAAGGAGGTGCTATAGTTTGAGTGTGTTCCCCCAAAAGCATGTTTTAGAAACTTAATCCCCAGTGCAGTGTTGGGAGGTGGGGCCTAGTGGGAGGTGTTTAGGCCACAAGGGCTCCACCCTCATGAATGGATTAATGCCAATTATAAAAGGGCTTGAGGCTTCAAGCTTGACCTCTTGCTCTCTCCACTCTCACCTTCTGCCATGGGATAATGCAGTAGGAAGGCCCTTGCCAGATTCCAGCACCTTGACCTTGGATTTTCCAACCTCCAGAACTGTAAGGAAATAAATTCTTGTTCTTTATAAATTACCGAGTCTGTAGTATTCTGTTACAGCAGCACAAAATAGACTAAGACAGGAGGGTTGCAGGAGTATCGACTGGACGTGAAAGGGAAAGAGAAAGGAGCGGGGTAAGGTTCAGAAGCATTCAGGCCTCTGGCAGTGGGAAGCCAGAGGTGCGGTCCAGTAACAATGCTCGAGGTAGGGAGCAGAACTCAAAACTCTGTGGATAGGCAGAGAGGACGTTAGGGATGCATGTAGCATCTCTTTCTTGATCAGGAAGTGAAAGCCAGAAAGGCCTGCAACCAAACATCTTTAGAAGGCAGGTGAGGACCAGACTATGTCAGCCGACAGTCAGCAGGTCTGGGTCAGCACCGCGGAGTGATGGTGGACTTAGGAATGTCTGCAGAGGCAATGTATGTAGAGTAGATGTGATTCTACTGAATGTTTGGACACTGAGTGTCTCTCAGAACAAATCCTACTTGGTGATGGGTCTGGCTAAGACAAGAAGTCTCATTTAAAAAAGTGTCAGAGCCAAACAAAGTTATCCACATACTAGACATGTCAAACTCAGCATCTGACCATATGCTGGGCCGTAAAACAATTCCCAATAAATTTAAAATGATTAAAATCATACTCAGTATGTTCTTTGATTATAATGGAATTGGGTCTGGCCTGGTGGCTCACACCTGTAATTCCAGGGCTTTGGGAGGCCAAGGTAGGAAGATCACTTGAGGCCAAGAGTTCCAGACCAGCCTGAGCAACACAGACCTTATTTCTACCAAAAAAAACAACAACAAAAAAAATTAGGTGTGGTGGTGTGCACCTGTAGATCCCCTGAGCCCAGGAGTGTGAGGCTGCAGTGAGCTATGATCACGCCACTGCACTCCAGCCTGGGTGACAGAGCAAGACCCTGTCTCAACAAAACAAAACCGAACAAAAACGGAATTGGATTAGAAATCAGTAACAATAAGATATCTAGGAAAACTCCATAATTTGGAAACTAATCAACATACTTCTAAACAATCCATGATCAATGAAACAATCACCAGAGAAATTAGATAATGAATGATAATGAAATACAACTTTTCAAAATTTGTGTGATTCAGCTAAAGCAGTGCTTACAGGGAAATTTATAGCTTTAAATGCTTATATTAGAAAAGCAGAAAGGCTTAAAGTCAATGACTTATGGTTCCACATTAAGAAGCCAGAAAAAGAAGCGCAAAGTAAACCCCGAAGTAAGTAAAATGCAGGAAAAAGCAAAGGCAAGAGTATAAACCAAGGAAATAAAAAAGAGACAGTAAGAGAAAATTAACAAACTCAGTCATGTTTTGTGACACATCATTCCTCCCCTCTTGCCTCTCACCACATTGATTGGTCGATAAATCATTTGGAGTGGGGGAAACAAAATGAAATAATAGGTAATTACTTCCTGTTGAGTTCTTGTGCGTTTCCCTCCCCCCACAGCCGGAGGAGAACGCTTTTGCCAGTAGGTGGCAGCGCTGGCACCTAAAATCCCAGACCGGCGGCGTTCTGGGTTGGCCGGGGGACCAGCGATTGCCGCCGGGTTGAAACCGCGGAGTCATTTGAAGACTGGAGAGCGTCAACTCCAGAAAGCAACCCCCCGCTCAAACTTAGAACTGGAAAAAGTTAGCAATTTCACAAACGCATCTCAGCCCCAAGCGTTAGAGGAATCAAAGCTTGAAAAATTTGGCTCTTTAAAGCCAGGGTTTTTTTACTGGAGTCCCGGAGACCGGCTTCCGCGTCTCAGAAAAGCCCCGCCCCCACTGTATGCAAATCTGGGCCCCTTCTCTTTTGTCCTGGGAAGTCGTCTAGTTTCTGTTGGAATTTCAAAATGGAACTGTGATTTAAGACAATTAAGAACCACTGCGACAAATACCTCACTAAACACCTCTCAGAAATCAGTGACGCATAAGTCGGGACTATGAAAGGAGGTGGTTAAGCGCACTCAAGCGTGGGTGGGAGGTGGGGCAGGCGGGGCCCGACTAGGTGCTTTTATAATTTTTTTTCCTTTCCTAAGTGCCAACGCTGTGAGAAATCCTTGGTGGGGGTTTGGAGCCAAAAAGGAGCGAGTACATTCTGCGGGCCTACTATGTGCGCCTAACGAGGTGCTTTTCACAAATGTCCTCATTCAATCTGCAGCAATCCTCGGCGTTCGGTGCTGACATCCTTAATGTTATCCCCGAAGACCCCTCAAGAGGACAGTTACTGGAGAGCCGGCTTTCGTGGTCCCGGACTTTAAGTGGATGCACGCACTGACCATCCCCCTCTCTCTTTTACGGACACAACTTCCATGCGACTTTCCTTGTTTAAATGAACTTTCCTTTATAAATAGCCTCTCGTTTGTTTCTTTGGTCTCTTTCAATCAAGAGCCACCCTCCCGTCGACACTGGCAGCATAAGCACAGAGGTAAACGTAGGAACCAATACAATTTTAAGTTGAATTTTGAAGACGGCGTTGGAACTGCACTTTTCCCTTCTTGCGGGCTCACCAGGTGGGCGGCGGCCCTGGCAGGGTCGGAGCGGGAGAAGCGCGGGCCGGGACTCCGGCGGCTGTCTCGGCGCCTCGGGCACGGGGGTCAGGGCCGCGCCCCACGTGGCCGCGGCCGCGCGAACTGCAGAGGCAGCCGGCGGGAGGCTCTGGGCGGCAGGCGCACGTCCCCGGACCCTCAGCCCGGCGCACATCTGCGCCGCCGGATAGCCGGGCCGGGCGGCCCCCGCTGCCCCACTCCTTCCCTTCGCGTCCCGGGCTTCGGATGTGCCGTGAGGACGATGTCCCTTCCTGCTGCCGACCCTCTGCCTCCTGCCCACGGGCGCAGCCCCTCGGCGCCGGGCGCCCGCCGCTGCCACCCGCGATCTCAAGCCCCAAGTAAGGCGCGCGTCGGGCGCGGGCGAAGCGGCCTCCCCGCGCCTCCCTGGGGTGATTTCCTTCTGAACCCCGCGAGGCACCGCGCTCTCGGACTCGGAGCCGATTCTCAGGGCTGGGCTTTCGCCTGGCACCGCGGCGCCTCCTTGCTCACGCGCCCCCCGCGCACTCGGCTCCCCCATTCCCGCCGGGGCGCAGCCCGTTCCCGGCGAGGGACTCGGTGCCCCGGCCCTTGCCCCCGCCAGCCCGAGGGCGTCACGGAGAGCCCCAGGGTCTCGCCAGCTGCTTCGCCGGCATCCGGGTGACGCATCCTCGAGGGCAAAGCGGTGCTGGAATTTGGGCATATTTACTTTGGAAGTTTGTTTTGCCCTATCTTCCGTAAGCGTTCGATTTTACCTGTTTTTATCAAAATATTAAAAGCACCCTGCATCTGCTTGATCTAACCTTTGTATATTCATTGCCTGAGTTAGAAGAAACTTGAGGGAGCTGAATCCATTTCCCGTGTTTTACTGGGAAATTGCGGCTCAGAGGAGGGCCTGTGTGCTCCGGGTCACAGAGCGCTTTCGCGGAGTGACCACTCTCTGACAGGCTCGCACACGGCGTTTCTTTAGATAGTCGCGTCAGTATCTATTTTGCCGGTGAGGGAAACTGAGGCCAGGGAGGCGCAGTGACTTGCCCGGGTCCGCTCAGCGCTAAAGGAGCAGAAGCGGAGCGGAAACCGGGCAAATCTTGCATCTCCGAGGCTGGACCTCTTTCGGGATGAAGTTTTCTTCTCTTGATCAGTTTTCTTCGGAATTTTAATTCCTTCTCAAGTCCCTCTCTTTTGAGTGCGGTGGAGGTTGAATTTTGCGCATTTGCATCAGCGGGTTTGATCTCCCCGCCTCCGGGGAGGGCGATCCAAGGCTTGCCCTTCTGGTGGCTTGTGCGCCCTCGGACGCCAGGTGCAGGACTTCGGTGGTCGGCCCACCTCCGATGACAGCTCCGGGCCGGCCTCCACCGTTGGCGGTTCGCAATTTTATTCATCGTCCTACCCACAGCAGAGCAGAGGGTGGCCTGATGGAGCGGTTCCTGGCCGGGAAGCCGCACAGTGTCCCTGAGGCGCCGCGCGGCTGCGGACACTGAGGCTCACACTCTACCGAGGCAAAAGAAGCGGTAGCTAGAGAGGGACGTCCGCGACAGGCATGGTTTCAAGTTTTGCTGCGGTGTGGCTTGTTAGATAAGGCAGGACTCCGTCTCTTCATGTGAAAGCAGAATGTCTTTCACGCCTGCAAAATCTGTGACCAATTATGTTACGTAATTACGACCAGCGAGTCTTGACAAGGTCTCTCTCCTTTCTTTTGAATCTGTCTTCATGAGTCTTTTATGACGTCGGTTCTCTAGCCTTTTGGTCCACTCTAAAAAAGTATTGAGGACCTCAGAGAGCTTTTTGAAAATGTGAATTAATGGGGATATTAGTAAAACACAAGAATACACAAGCACATGTTTGATTAACCGTAAGAGCAGCCACGTCACTACATGCCTATAGTCTCCAGAAAATTCTTCACTTTGCTTGTGAGAGACTGCAGGTGAAAGAGGGAAATATCTTAGTATTATGAAAATAGTTTTGACCTTACAGACTCCCTGAAAGGGTGTTGGGGACACCCGCAGGCTCCTGGACCACACTTTCAGAACCGCTGTTCTGTTCTGTGGGCAAACTGACTTACCCACTGCGGAGCTGGGCAGGCCGCTCAGTGGCAGGGGCGTATGCCTGCCCCGCATGCTGTAAGGGTCCCTCAGGGGCTTGGTGTGTTGAGGTTGCAAAGTGGAAGCTCTGGAATCCAGCCAACAATCAAGGGCAGCTGCCCACTAGGATTCTGGAGGACTGTGAGCTTGAGAGCTGCTTTGGTTTTCACGGTGGGTTAATCATTAGAGAGGTCTTCTGAGTCCAGGTCGGGGCCCAGACGCTGCAGGGTTTACCTTGAGCATCAGGCAGCGCAAATCTCTTCCGTATCAATACTCAAACAGAACTCTTGAGTGTTCTTTGCTATTCCTGCTGCCGACTTTAACATTGCTTCTTTTTCCCCTGGAAAGTTCTTTCCCCTTTTATCCACGTGCTTGCTCCCTTACTCGCATCTGATCTTGGCCCAAACGTCTCTCAGTGAGGCCCTTCCTGACTACCCTATTAAAGGTGATGTCACCCCCCACACCCCCCCCTGTAATTTTCATAAGGGTAGGGATTTCTGTCTGTTTTCCCTCTGAATCCCCAGTACCCAGAAGAGTGCCCGGCCATAGTAGATGCTCAACAAATATTTGTTGAATGAAGAGGGTAAAATAAAGCCAACTTTAGTAACGTTCAGTCTGGTGTGCTGAAGAGTAATCTTGAAAAACTGCTATTATCACAGGTCCTAGGAAGCTAGGATGGAGGAGCTGAGGGGTGCAGGGTTCTGGGGAGTTAGCCTGCACTACACAGTGGTTTGTACCCCTTTGTTCTGTTTCATTGCGTGGACCACACTAAAAACTCAGTTTGATTCACAGGTGACAGAACTTGTAGCCACCCATAGCCATGGATGATTGCAACAAGGTTTAGAAGGGACATGTTAATAGTACTCAGGATTTTTTTCCTGAGTACTCATCATAATGTTAAAATATATACCTTCCTCTAATAGCATGTGGAGGCCAAAGTTACAGTGAAATAGGGTAAAATAGGGTAGTGGAGCTTTTTTTTTTTTCCCTCCTTTGTGGGGACAAATAGCCCTACCCTTGAGGATATTGGTGTGAGGGAGGCAGAGGCAGTTGCTCCTGTACGGTCAGTGTGGTGCGCTGGGGACTCACTCCTGGGCAAAGGCAAGGTAAGAACTCCCTGTTCAGAAGCCCCAAAGACTCTTCCTTCAGCTTGTGTCCTGCCAAAGGCGTGCCTGGTAGGGCAGTATCAATAGCCGTCAGAATAGAACTGCACGTATTGAAGAAGCTCTACAAGGTGAGATTCGTCTCTTTAAAACACACTTTTTGAGTTCTCTTATAGTGTATGGCAAGTATTTCACCATTTGAGAATATGAATGTGAAGAAGATACAGCCCTTGGCATATAAAAAAAGGAAAAAAGCCCCTGAATTGTGTTAACCTAAAAGAAAGCATAGGAAGGTGGCATCCTGAGGATATAATGATGTCAGTATTGTATTAATATTTACTTGGGGAGATCATCTGGGATCAGAAAGGCGAGCTGGTCAGAGTCTTTCTAGATTTGGAGTCAGGTAGCACTCCTGAGCAACAGTACGACGAGTAGGGTATTCATTGAAAAAAGATATAACTCTGAATTGCAAATGAGATCTGTCTCATGTTAAGGCCACATAACGTGGTGTTTAAAGCCCAGAGCTCGGGAGCCGGCCTGTGGGTCCACCACTTAGCACAGGGCAGGTTTTTGTCCCCACCACGCCACCAACATTGTTCTTGTCTCGGTCTCCGGTGACCTCAGTGTTGCTTAATCCAGAGGTCAGTTCTCAAATTCTCTGCTTATTCAACCCACCAACCACACTTAACCCACTTGCTTACTTTCTCCTCCTTGAAGCACTTTCTTCAGCTGGCTTCCTGCTCTTCTGAGTTAACCTCGCTGCCACTTCTCATTCCCCTTTGCTGGCTGCTCTTCCTTTCCCCGGCTTCTTACGGTCAGAGGGCCCCAGAATCCATTCCTAGACCTTTTCTCTCTTGTTGACACTCAGTCTCTTGGGGTGCTCATCCAGTCCCATGGCTGTAAATAGCATCTAAATGGTGATGATGCCCTCGTTTTTATCTCTGGCCCAGGCCTCTCTCAAACTCCAGACTTGTATACTCGGCTACCATCTTGACCTGGCCCCTAGGTTGTCTGCTTGACATCTCAACTTGACAGGTGCAAAACCGAATTTCTGACCTTCCCCTCTAATCTGGTTTCACCCCTGTCTTCCCCATCTCTGTTGATGGTGACCTCATCCTTTCTTGTTTTCTGGCTTCTAGAATATATCCAGAATCTGATCACTTCTCATCAATCCTGCCACTCCCACTCTGTCCTCTCACTTGGATTATTTTGGTCATGTCCTAGTTGACCTACTTGAGTCTGCCCTCGTTCTTCAGTAGTCTGTTTGTCACAGCCACCAGAGTGATTCTTTTTACACATTAAGTCAGCTCATGTCACTCGTCTCTCAAAAATCTGGGCTAGCTCCATCTGTCTCAGCTTGAAAGCTTGGTCCCTTCTAGGGGCCCACAGGCCCTGTGTGGCCTGGCCTCCTGCTTGCCTCTTCAGTCATCCCTGTAGAGTCATGCTGGCCTTCTTGCTGCTCCTCTGACACCTTGAGGACCTTCCTGCCTCAGGGCCTTTGCACCACCCTTCCCTCTTGCTGGAGGGAATGCTCTTTTCTCAGATGTCCTTATGGCTGCCCCTCACTTCCTTTGTGGCAAGGCTTAGATGTCTTTCCAGACACTCAGTGACTTTCCTGGTCCCCCTATTTAAGATCATCCCCCACCATTGTGCCACGGCACTCTGTCCCTTTGCCAGCTTCCATGTCCTCCACAGGAATAATCACTGAAATACCTGAGGCGGGTACCTGTGTTTCACTCTCTGCTGCATTCCTAGTGCCTCGCACAGTGCCTGGCACATGAAGAAGAAATCGTTGTGTTGAATGCAGGCAGGGGACAGTCCGTGTGAAATGCTTGGATGGCGTCTGGCTCACAGTGAACGTTCAGCAACAGCTGGCTGCCCCTAGCATCATGGCTGTCATTGCATGGCCTGAGGCCAGAACATGAGCGTGTGTTCAATTTTTATAAATCTAAGCATTTTTCAGTCAAAAGATCATACAATGACCTAATTTCTAGACTAATAATAGTTGAAAAGGCAATGATAAAATAAATAGTAAAATAAAAATAGATGCATATTGAATAGACTGTTTCTGAAAAGAAGCACATGTATTTTGAAGGAGGAGGGGGCATTGTACAGCTTAAGTGAAAAACCAAACCAAAATGAACCCCACCTCCTCTATGATCCTGCAGAATGGGTTTGCTTTTCCTGGGAATTTATTTGTTTAACATGATGGTGTCCTGACAGACGACAATGAAGAGTACTATGGCACAGTGGTGGGAGGGGGATTTTAAATAGGGGTTTAATAATACCCATGGGTTTAATAATACCATTTCAGCTTGTTTGCCATGTCTCCCCCTTGGAAACTGGGTAGAAGTCCTTTGGTAGACCGTGTGGAACTTGTACAACTACATCTCTGACATAGGTCAGTGGTCCCCAGACATTGCACCAGCCCTCTTTGATCATCAACTCTTTGCTGGAAAATGAACAAACAACCAAACTAAAATTACACTTTGTAGGTGCCTCCACTTGTTTGTAGGTAATAAGTATTTTGTAATCTATTTAAAATTAACCAAAGCCATAACTGTCAATCTCAGCTTTCGATTAGCATCTAGGTAACCAGTGTTTTCTACCAGGTTGATCTAATTCTAACCAACAGTGAGACATTTGATTGCTTAATTAGCCTTGGCGTCCATTTCTTGGTAGATGTACAGTTTCCATTTGGCTTTTTGAAGTATTTAAATAACCCCAGGGAGGCTGGGCGCGGTGGCTCCTGCCTATAATCCAAGCACTCTGGGAGGCCGAGGTGGGAGGATTGCTTGAGGTCAGGAGTTCGAGAGCAGCCTGAGAAAGAGTGAAATCCTGTCTCTACTAAAAATAGAAAAAATTAGCTGGGCAACTAAATACAGAAAAAAAAAATTAGTCAGGGTGTGGTGGTGCACACCTGTAGTCCCAGCTATTTGGGAGGTTGAGGCAGGAGTATTGCTTAAGCCCAGGAGTTTGAGGTTGCTGTGAGCTAGGCTGACACCACGGCACCCTAGCCTGGGCAACAGGGTGAGACTCTGTCTCAAAAAAAAAAACAAAACCCAGGGACCTCATTACTCCACTGGGGGCAGGAGGTCCTGTTTATGATGCATCTCTTAATGTTACTTGAACAATTAATAGGTTTTTAAAATTGATCCTAAGTACACTAATTTGATCTTTACAAGTCATATGACTGCATTAAATTATCACATATACCCTGAAACTGTGTACATCTATTATGCATCAATCAATCAATCAATGAAAATGTCTTATAAACACAAATAAACATTGCCAATTAAAAGATATGTGTATTTATTTTTTCATTTATTTAACAATTATTTGTCTGATTTGTTTATTATCATAACCTTATGACAGGGGTTGTTAATTTAACTTTTACAGATGAGGAAACTGAAGTGCACAGAAGTGAAGTGGCTTTTTAAAATCTCAAGGGAGTAACTGAGCCACAGGAAGAATTGAGGTTCATTTTGCCCAATTAGTGCATTCTTGAAAAGGAGGGTGAGTAGAACTGTCATTTAAATGCTTAAAAAAATGAGGTCACAGGCTGGGGCTAGCGAGATATGTTCTCTTCGACATTTAAGAAAATTGAGGCAATATTTACAAATGGGAAGATTTTATTTAAAATCAGGATTTCTAGTTTTGAAAAGTCAGTTTTGGAGCAGCTGTCCACTGTTCCTGGGTGGCTGGTGCTGGCTGGGACTGCTTAGCCAGTTTCCTTTACTGCAAGCTGGGGGCTTGTTTGCGGCTGAACCCCTGACTGTGATCTCACCCCCAGCCCACGTGCTTCCTTGCCAGCCTTTGCCCTCATGTGAGTACGCAGTCCTGGTGAAATGATGCTCTTCTGGAAGGTGGGAGGTGGGGAGAGGAGGGGAGAAGTCTGCGAGGGTAGAGCCACTACTTCAACCAACTCCACTCCCATCTGTCTTGTATTTGGAGATTCTGTGTAATATTTTATTTGAAAATGGATTGCTGCTGCCAAGCAGTGACACACAAATGCAAATGCAATTGATCCTTATTACTGCCTACTCGCTAAAATGTATTCATAACCCCCAAATCGATCCTCTGAGGCTCTTTTGCATGCCCGGAACTTTGAAAAATTTGAGTTGCCCAGTGTGCACTTTCCCAGCTGAGTTGACAAGGTGACACTGTGCCTTATTGTTTCAACTCTCATATTGCAAACAAGTGTCCTTTTCATGGTCTACTTATGGCCACACTTTTTCTTTGCATTTTTGTAGGTGATTTTACTGTTTAAGATGGCCCAAAACAAAGTTCTGAAGTACTGTCTAGTGTTCCTAAGTGCGGGAAGGCTGTGACGTGCCTTACAGAGAAAATACATGTGTTAAATAAGTTTTGTCCAAGCATGAGTTATAGTGTTTTTGGCCGTGAGTTCACTGTTAATGAATCAGCATGATATATTAGATAAGGTGGCATCCAGCAGAAGCACACATAAAACAAGGATATGTATTGATTGCTTGATGAAAATGTCATGACCAGAGGCTCACAGGAACCTAATTCTGTATTTTCCTTAGGAAATGATTTGTTATTGTCAAATTCAGGGTTTGCGGCTGAAACTTTATAAAACATAGCTACCATGAATAATGATAATTTATTGTAGATTGAAACTCCATAATCCAGAGAAATACATTAGTTAAAAGGCTGCTGAAGTTAAAGCCTTTTCTAAAGGGAGTGTGTTCCAAATCTTGTTTTCTATAAACTTGGATTTTCACATTTCTGGGTTTCTCGATGTGTCATTCACTCCACCTGACCTTTACATTTGGACTCCTTAAGGACTGCCCAGTGCACTTCTTGTACAGTGCCTGTTAAATGGACACTTCACAAATGCCTGTTGAGGCTGAGGGACATGCAGGGGCAAAGGGTGAAATGGCCTGGCCTCCGACGAACACGCACCTCTGCTCAGCCTGGGAGACAGCTGGAAGGGAATCCGTGGAACACTGTGCAGGTCTCTGTTTTGTAAGAAAGAAATACAGGAGGACAATCCATATCCTACAGGGACAGGAGCGAGCTGAAATCAGGCACTCATTAGGACTGTGGTTTCAACCTTGGCTGTGCTTTTGGTATCGCCTCTGAGTCCCACCTGCAGAGATCCTGACGTGACCAGTCTAGGGTGGGACCCAGGCACTGGAGTTTCAAAAGCTTTGCAGCTGATTCCAGTGTGCAGCCAGAGTTGAGGGCCTCTGCCCTTGGGAACGTTGGATTTGAGATCTGGAGAAGCGGGGCCCATCAGGTCTGCCTGGGAGATGACAGCGGGCTCCTCAGGTGCCTCTCACCTGGTATCAGGAGCGTCCTTGCAGTCCCGAGACTCCCCTCTTCAACTCAGGCCCAGTTCACTGCCAGGGCAGGCATGGGGCAACTGCAGAGCTGGGGATTGCTACGGCTTTCTCGTCTGAAAGCAACATTTTGATGGGGAAGCAGGAAAAGGATGCTGAAACTTGGGCTGCGTTGAGGACTCCTGCTTTTGGTCAGGTGAATCTGCCTGGACTCAAAAGTCTAAATCCTACTTTGATAATTTTTCTTTTGCAATGTGACTAATTCATTTCTTCCCCTCAGGTTCCTGGCCTTCCCCTGCCCCTATATTATCCCTTGGTGTTGTCTCTTTTCTTTTTAGCAAAGTGAGTTGAATTCCTTCTCGTGGACCATAAAGTGAGACCCGCCATCTTACTTCTTTGGCACAATCCATGTCCCGTACACCGGTTTGGGGCTTCATCCCTGACAGCTCTAAGGAGGCTTTCCAGCAGAGCAGCGTTGTGTGCTTTGAGTTGGACCTCACTGACCCCTGTACCATCTCTGCTCTCACCAGCTGTCAGATGCTGCCACAGGGTGAGAACCTCCAAGATGTGCTCCCCAGGGACATCTACTGCTGCCTCAAGCGCCACCTAGAGTAGTACGTCAAGCTCATGATGCCCTTGTGGATGACTCCAGACCAGCGTGGCAAGGGGCTCTATGCAGACTACATCTTCAGTGCCATCATGGGGAACTGGGAGTGCAAGAGGCCTGTCTGGGTGATGCTCATGGTCACCTCCTTGATTGAAGTGGACATTAAGTCCCGGGGAGTGCCTTTCTTGTACCTGTACCTTGCTCAGGAGGCCGAGTGGCTGAGGAAGCAGACTGGGGCGGTGGAAAAGGTGGAAAAGCCATCCGCTGAATGGGCTGAACTTTTCACAGGTAAGATTCCCTTTGCATGAAGGACCTGGTGGCATTTGACGGTGTGGGTGAATCTATAGAAGATGGACCACAGGCACAACTTGTCTAGAAGTTGTCTTTGCTCAAGAATGCTATTCTGGGGATTAAAAATAAGCCTACTGGTCAGTTATATCACCTTTTTGAGTATTGCCAAGAAAGAAAACTAATATTTTCTTGTCATCCCAACAAATATTTCCTGCTTTTTAAATGCATTTTAATTCAAATCATTCATTAAGAAGCTGCTTTGAGGCCGGGTGCGGCGGCTCACGCCTGTAATCCTAGCTCTCTGGGAGGCCGAGGTGGGCGGATTGTTTGAGCTCAGGAGTTCGAAACCAGCCTGAGCAAGAGCGAGACCCCGCCTGTACTAAAATTAGAAAGAAATTAATCGGACAACTAAAAATATATAGAAAAAATTAGCCGGGCATGGTGGCACATGCCTGTAGTCCCAGCTACTCGGGAGGCTGAGGCAGAAGGATTGCTTGAGCCCAGGAGTTTGAGGTTGCTGTGAGCTAGGCTGACGCCACGGCACTCACTTTAGCCAGGGCAACAGAAGTGAGACTCTGTCTCAAAAAAAAAAAAAAAAAGAAGCTGCTTTGAGAGGCTGTGGACATGTGGATGCCACAACACTGGTTGTCAGAGGGTAGAGCCTAGTTTGAAAATGATACTGGCCAAATGATACTGTTTAGGTAACAGCAGTCCCTTTGAGATCACTATTGCTCCTCCCTCTTCAGGACACTGCCCCCAGGACAGTTCCTTTCCTAGGCAGAGTTACTCATGGCTTGTGGGTCCTACCTCTGGGCACTGGAATGTAGGTGGCTGTTCAGGAAGTTGGTTCTTCATTTCTCATAAGTGATACTTTATTAAAAGTGCCACTGTTTAATTGCTTTGGTGAAAGTTTTTGTTGTTTTAAAGTGCATTAAATACCTTGGGGGCCAATGGGAGTTACACAAGACAAAATGGGTATTCTTGTTTTGTAAATATTCTCAACGGGTGGCCTTGGGATGCTGGTCCTCAGAATTTGAGATTATTGTTAGCCCAACTGTCTTGGCCTTAGCAGATCTTGACATGCTGAACTAGGATTGTTATCTGAAGGGTATAAGGACATTTGCAGCCTAAAAATAGTGTTCCTGAGTTGATAGTGATATCTTTAGGGAATTTACTTGCTAAAATTCTGTACTATTAAAAGTGCTCATATGCTAGAATATAGTGCGTGTTTGGCACACTGGGCTTTTAGCATCCCAAGAGGTGGTTGGTTAGATGTCAGAGTCCTTTGCAAACCCCAGAGTGCCCTTTAGTCGATGCTGAGGTGTTATTTGAATGGGTGCAGCGTGAAGGATTGTTTCTTTGTTATTGTTTACTCTTGCCGATAGATGGCACTGACATATGTCAAGATTGTCTTTCTGGCTGTCACTCTTCTGTTCTTTCCAGCAGGATGGGCCATCACCAGTTTTGCCCTCCTTACCTCCAGGACCCTAACAATTCACTCTCCTGGCTGAAAAACCCCACAGAGTGAAAGCTTAAATAGTGCTTTGGGCACAGTAGCTGTACTTATAGATCTTATGAAAACTGCATTTCTTGAGCTACAGTTGGGGATGTTGGGAAGACGGGGATTTTGTGTCATTGGAGCAAATTGTCTTTTGGTTGGTTGCATAGCTCTGGGTTGATTCTCTGGAACAGTCCTGGCAGGGTGGAGGGGTGGAGGCAGCCCCTGCCCCCAGGAGCACATGGTCTGGCTGGAGAGGCAGGAAAAATTCCTCTTGGCCTCTGGTTATTAAGGGCTGGGAGAACGCAGGAGGAGTGGGAGCCAGGAGGTGCTGGCTGCAGACGAAGCCTCCTGGGGAGGAGGGGGCCAGATTCCCTGAGGAGAGGGCAGGCCTAGGGTCTAGGGATACCACGTGGGGCCTCGCTTTGTACTTTGCAGGTCTCTCTGCGTGTTCTCACAGTGCTTTGGGGCTCAAGAATGACCCATGAGGCTGAACAGAAACCCATGAGGTCTCTGTTCCCAGAGGCCAAGGCAGGAGTATGGAGGCTCAGCCAGCAGAGGCAGCTGGGGACAGTCTCCTGTTGGAATAACCCTGGAGAGGCCCAGCCGGGGGCAGAGAGCGGGCTAGCTGGGGGCGTAGAGTGAATTACTGCAGCCAGGCTGGGCTCCCAGGTCTCCTGTTTCTGATCCAGCCCTGCCTCTGAGCACTGCCCCTGCCAGACTTAGAAGTCTAATTTGGGTTCCTGCTTCCTCGTCATAAATTCCAATAAAAGCAGGAGGTCTCATGCTTTATTATTTTTTAAAATTGGCCATGATGCTGACAGGTGACTTCTCCACATTTTCCGTGACTGATTTAGAAGATACTTGAAAATAGAGATCCCGACTTTCCATTTTTCCTTGATAGGTTTGGTTTAAAATAAAGGCCTAGGAAAAAATATGTGAACTCTCTGAAAGGGAACTGTTCCTGAAACATGGGCGGGTTTATTTGTGAACACGTGGTGCAGCATCCTTACTCATGTCCTCTGCAGGCAGCTGGGCCAAGTGCGGGGCACACGCTGTCCCCCCTGCCTGGAGCCCTTCCCCAGACTGTCCCTCTGGCCAGTGGCTGATTCAGCTCACACTTCCTCAGTGAAGACTTCCTATGACTGACCCTCCGCAGTCTTCTCTGCGTCCCGTGGGAGCCTCGGCTGGGGCCCTGACCACTGCCTCCCAGCACGTACAGGCCCCTCGAGGTGGGCCACGCCCTCTTGGTCCTGGTATCCCCAGCTCCCGGTGCCGTCTGGCACATGCGAGGTGCTCCTGAGTGGCTGTTGGATAGTGAGTGCGCCGCTGCTGAGTGTGCCAGCCAGGTAGGATGTGGGAGAGTCGGATTTCAATGTGCAGAGCTTGGAAAGACCAATGGGAACAGTGAACTCAGAGGCGCCTTGGCTAAAACAGGACACGATGTGGACGTGTGCTGATGACTTCAGCTGAACGCAGCATGTCTAACAGCTGTGTGTATATAGACTGGCATCTTAAAATTCACATTAAGTCCAATCTTTTTGTGAGCAATTTGCTTTTATCCCATTCTTTTGCTTTTTTACATGGTCTCCCAACATTGCTATGAGGTGTGGCTGGGCTGAAGTGCTGAGTGACAGTGAATGCCCTCAGAGCCCGCCACAGCTATTCCTTGAATAAACCCTGTCCCTCCTTTCATAGGGGTCAACACAGATGTTGTGGGTGGACACCATCTTCATAAATTGGGAGTCTTGGTGGGCTCTTAGCTCTCCCAGGAGCGTCTTCTGCGGCGTTTCTTCACCTTGGCTGTACTTGTAGTTTCTTATCTTTTGACAAGAAGTGGAGAATGGGGTCAACTGTGTACCTGATGGCTGGCTGTGAAGTTCATGAGCTTCTAGGTGCAGACTTGAGCTCTATGTTTCCACCTGCAGACAGGCCTGCTCAGGACTTGAGTCATCTTTCCTTTTCTTGCCAGTTTTTATTTGGGACATGTTTCTTAAGTGCCCAGCGTGAGCATGGCCCTTGGTTTCTTATTTTGGAGATTCAAAGACAAAGTATGTGTTGATTCTGCCCTCCTCTGGCTCTGGGATGCCCCTCTAAAGTCCAAAGTGAACCTTGAAAAAAGAATAGGTATTTTTGTACTTGTGTCTGGATACCACACGTGCTCCTGGGGTCTGGCCATGCCTCAGCTGGATCCGACCCTGCCTGGCTGCCTCTAGGGTTGGAAAAGAAGCACTTCAAGGGCTGCAGAAGCCTAGTTTCTGGCCCATATCCCTGCTTCCTGCCCTGGTGAACTAGGCTGGCAGTAGAGAGCTCCTTTGAAACCCCAGCAGCAAGCTCTTCCTTGACACATGCTTGGTGGCTCAGCTCAAGGATACCTCTAGACTTTAGGAATAACTCCCAGCATGTCTCTGCAGGAGAGAGCATGAATTTTCCATCGCTCCTCCATAGAGTCTACCTTGCAGGTATGGGTGGGTGAGACAGAGTCTACCCCACTTGGAGGAGAGGGGGCAGAGTGAGGAGACAGGTGGGACTGGGGCCAGCTGTTACCTGGCACCCTCCAAGGAGCCAGTTGAGGTCTCAGGGGTCCAGGTGCTCTGTGGCCCAGGGATGGAGCAAGGGGGATGCCTTGGACTCTGAGGTGGTTGCCGATGGGAGAGTGCCATAGACATTATGACACTTCTTCTCTGTATTCTTTTCCTCTATTCCCCCACACTTTTTGTGCCATCCTCCCTCCCTGGACTCTTCCATGAGGCCCTTCCCTTTGCATTCACAGTCATGTAGGGCCTAAAGAGAGTGAGTGGGGCTCTGGCATCAGCAAGGGCTGTGGAATCATTGGAAGTGGAATCCTAACCTGAGAGACCTGGTTAGCCCTGTCCCGCTTCCCCCGACTCCACCCCGGTGAGGACCTTGGCTCACATCGAGCATCTGCTCTTGCGGGTGCATTGGCAGGCGAGGTTGCTTACTGCTCAGCAGAAGAGAGGCAGGTGGGTTGCTGCTGACTAACTTCCTGGGAAAAGGGCAGCTCTGGGATGCTCCGTGCTATCTGGGGCTTCAGCAGGGTCCCCGACTTGCCCGTGACCAGGCAGCCGTGTTTGTGTCTGGAATGGTCATAGACAGGATGCTGTCTGAAGAGACTGGTGGGGGTTGTTGACACAGCCCAGACCCAGAAGTGATTTTAAGATGCTGTAGAGCAACTCTATTGGATGGCCCCATAAATCTATTGCTAGGCTGATAGAAAGTATGTGTAGACATTTGAGGCAACTCATGACTGAACCTGAGCTCAGGGTCCCAATACCTGCCTGTGCACCCCCTGCTGCTGCCACCTCCCTTCCTGGATCCAGAACTTCCAAGATCTCGATGGCCCCTCCTTTAGCGCTCCCTTCCCATCCAGCCCTGACCCAGCTTCTTGAACATGGCCTGCACTTGGATGGCCTGGGGGTGACCCCACACACCTTCTCCACCTCTCCAACCTTCTCCCTTCTCCCCTTTGCTGTTGGT